TACGTACTACTACTACTACTACTACTACTACTACTCTACTCTCTCTCTCTCTCTCTCTCTCTCTCTCTCTCTCTCTCTCTCTCTCTCTCTCTCTCTCTCTCTCTTGTATGGTAGCAACCATGCCCCCTCTCTCAATGGGCCCCAAGACTGGAGGTTGCTTTGCTTAGATTCAACCAGTGATTTAAAAATCGGCGAGTCGCAACGGACTCACCCGAGTCAGCACGGAAATCAGTATCCCCGTGCCAATTACTTCCCAAAACCGAGAACCGCCCGGTTCTAGATCAAAACCGGCGGTTTTGAACAAAAAACAGCCTATACGACGTCATAAACCGGGGGAGAACCGGTCACATGACGTCGCTTTTTACCAGTTCTCAGTCACACGTGGCAAGCCTTCAACCCCACAACATCGCAGCCCGTGTTCTCACGCGTTCGTTTAATGAGGTACAACGAAACTATTTATATCACTAAGTTTGATACTCATTCTTGGATGTGGAATAATTCCCACAAGGTGCATTAAATTAAAATAGATGTTGAATAAGTATCATTAATATGGGAAGTTAATACACTTGCCATGGTGTGGCTTTATGGTTATCGCTTTGTTGAAGGACATCCCAGGTTCGAACCCCAGCTCGAGCGCGCTGCATTATTTTATTTTTGTTGTAAAAAAACTAAAAAATAATGTTGTTAAAAAAAAATTTTATTCCATTTGAAATTCTCTCTTTCTATGAACAATCTTTTTTACTAAAATTATTCTAGAATCTACAAAATTAAAATTTTGAAAAATTAAAGAGTTGTTTTGAAAATTGGTACACATTCAAATAATTTTTATATTGATAACCAAATTTTTATTTTATTTATTAATTTTTGCATTATAAATCATGTAATATACTATTTTGTTTGTAAAAAAATAAAAAATAAGCAGAAAATAATGTTGTTAAAAAAAAAATTATTCCATTTGAAATTCTATCTTTCTATTAACAATCTTTTTTACTAAATTTATTCTAGAATCTAAAAAAATTAAAATTTTGAAAAATTGAAGTGTTATTTCGAAAGTTGATACGCATTCAAATAATTTCAACCAAATTTTTATTTAATTTATTAATTTTTGCATTATAAATCATGTAATATAATTTTTTTCTTATAGTTGTCAATAATACATTTTAAATTAGATGATATTATAAAATATTTTGGATTTGTTATTGTTTGTATAATAAAATAATTATAAAATGTTAACCACCAATTTTAATTTCAGTATATAATATTATAGTTAGTTAGGCTGTAATAATTTTGGATTATAGTTAGGTTGTAATAATTTGGGTTTTTTTAGCGGATTAGGGTTTTCCGCCAATTCGAGATTTTAGTGGCCATTTTTTCATCGATTTATTCTACTCTTTATTGTAGTATATGTATGATTGGTATACTTTATCCATGATAATTCTATGATTTTTCTTTTGTGTGATGTAAATTTAATGGTTAACATAAGTTTATACAGGGAAAGAACGTCTCAATATTCACAAATTGATGAAAAAAATAAAAGTTAACAATGTAGTACCCTCGTTTCTTATTGGATTCCTAAAAGACAACATTTATAATGAATTTTAATAATTTTTTTGGATTTTTTTAAAGCTTAATCCGACTGAGTCAGACGATTCCCGATCCGGATCACGTATTCACCGATCCGGATGGGTTTTTGGAGTGCCCGATCCCAAGCACCGATCCGTTTTTTAAACCACTGGATTCAACCATTATTCCAAAAAAGTGAAGCCGATTGTTACACTTTCTCATAAATCCTCATTGAGCTTTTTGTGGAAATTTTGATGATTTTTTCCCCTTTGTAAGTCATAAATGAGCTTATCTAAGAGATGGTCATTCTGATTTGTGTCCATTTACCTGATTACTGACCATGTTTGGTTGCATCCTCCATATAACGAAAATCATTCAACCCTCTAAGTTATCTCTAGATGTGTCCTTTCAGTGATTTTGTGATTTGCAATTCATTCACAATAGCGTGTTGTGCAAAGAGAGAGAGACGGCTGCTGTGCAGGGAGGGAGGAAGGGAGAGGAAGAGATAGAGTCTAGTCGTGGGAGGCCAAGAAAGAGAAAGGGGAACGGGGTGTTTTAGCCCTGTTCTCATGCTAATAGGGTATAGGCAAAAAGAATGGGGGCAATTTTGTCAGAAAAAAGAGGAAAACCTGTGAGCAAATATAAGCCCTAAGATTCGTTACTTTAGGGGGGGGGGGGGGCATGGGATTCTTATGGAACCAAGGGTGAGTGTGGGTTTCCATCATTTTTCCTAAGAAAAGTATATGCACATACATAAAAGATAACCTGGAACCATCAAGTTACATGTTAAAGATGAAAGAAGCAGTCCTTTCTCCATTATATCTACAGTCTACTTGATACATATCAACAGAGCATGAAATGATCACATGAGAGACCCGATACAAGTGGCACACATGATATGAGTAACAACATTCATATTACAACTATCAATTTTTCCTAATCATTTGCAGTTGTAACTTATTCACATTTAAGAGATTTTCTTTTTCTTTTTTGAGAAAGTTTATTGATGTATTGAGAAAAATAAGTGTACAAAGGTTGACCACCCACAAGTCGGGTGAGCGCGAAAAAACCCTTTATCACATAAGTGTCTAAAAGGGCACTGGAAGGGAGTCTGTGAGGACTCCTAGAGGGGCTAGATAGGTATTCCCACAGGATCGGAGCCTTGGGCCTCTTCTTTGGCGACGGAGTCTGCAATGGAGTCTTCTTTGGCAAGTGTGCCTCCAGACAATCTGCAGATCGAAGTTGCTGTGGTAAATCTTACAAAAACGGGATCAAGACTCCAAGGGCACTGGGCTGTATTGGAAGCCCACGAGATGACATTGGCGGAATCTCCTTCAATGACCAAAGAGTTTCCCCACTCCTCGCCATTCCCTATTGGAATATCTCAGGCCGAGTAGGAAAGCCATTGCCTCGGCTGGGGTGGAGTCGGACCATCCAATGGAGTGAGCGAAGGAGAAGAGGCTGCGGCCCACAGTCGCGAAAAATCCCTCCCACACCCGAGGGATCTCGCTGGATGTGAGAAGGCCTTAAGTGAAGCAAAGCCTTCCAGTTTTGGTGGCTAAAGAAACATGCTTGAAGTGTTTGGAGTTGGTTGCCCAAAAATGTCCATAGAATGCACCTTTTCCAGCAGGGCATTGATGTTAGAGAACTCTCCCCTAAAGATTCTTTAACTACTTTCCAGCCACAGGGTCCAGAGGATGGCAGCAACCGTGCTCTCCATAGGAGGATGCCTGATTTAGCCCAAGGGGACAAGAGGTAGGAGGAGAAGAGGTGAGATATAGACTGGGGGGTAGCCCAGTACCATACGAAAGGGTTGAGAATTGAGGCCAAGAGGTCGGAAGTAATCTCGCAATGCAAAAAGAGATGGGCGTTGGTTTTGGCTTCAATCAGACACATGATATACCTATTGAGAAGTTGCAAGCCCCTTCTTTGGAGGTGGTCCACTGTCAGGACCATTTCATAGGTGTAGCCACCCACATAAGGAAACTGAGTTTTTAGAGGAACCAAAGTGGCCCAAGCTTTTGCTGCTATATGGGTAGTGGGGGGATGAATTTGGGGAGGCAAGAGGAGGGCATTGTAAAAGGCTACTGAGAACACGCTCGAGGGAAAGGGAATCCAGACTATTCTTGTCGTGGCCAGAGGGAGGGAGGAAGAAGTTGTGAAGAAGGGCTTGCAGTTTGATAAAGGCTGGCAGCTCGGAATCATTAGGGGACCTTCTGAAAATTGGAGTCCAAACCCTTACGCGGGGAGAGAATTCGAAGTTCTCAGCTATTGGGGAAAGGGGATTGTGAGCCAAATAGGAAAGCATTGCCGATACTACCCGGGTGGAGGGAGGGGGGAATTTCTCAAAATGAATAATTTATTGTAGGAGTGAAGTGTTGATATACTTCAAAGAAGTGGCAAGGCCAGTGGGAAGGATCAGCACAAATCAAATTTTTTGAGGAATGTATTGAGAGAGAAATTGATTTGGTTAGGCAGTATGTGGGGGGAAAGGGGATTGCAAGCCAAATCGGAAAAGGGTAGGGAAAGACTCCCTAAGAGGGGCATGGCCAATCCATGTATCTGTCCAAAAAGCAATTATGGTACCCTCTCTCGGTCGAAAATGGATGTTTGCAAGAAAGCAATGAAGGCAAGAATGGAAGCCCCTCCAAACACTTGAAGAATTGTGTGGGACCCTGCAGGTCGGAAACCAAGCATTGGGGGGACACCGATATTGGAGATGAACAACCTCTTGCCAAAGGTGTTCCCTTTGGGATGCAAACCTCCACCACCACTTACCAGGCAACATTGATCATTCTGATATTATGAATGCCGATACCTCCTTGATATTTTCAGGTACAAACTGTTTTCCAAGCAATAAGGTGGGATTTCCTTCCTTCGGTTTCTGACCAAGGAAGTTTCTCATGAATTGTTCAAGACGGTTTGCCACTGTAGCCGGAATCAGGAATAGGGACATTTGGTAGATAGGGATGCTTGAGAGAGTTGCCTTGATGAAGGAGTGTCTTCCCGCAGTGGAAAGAAATCTACCTGTCCTCACCGCGAATCTCCTATCAAACTTGTCGATAATGCAGGACCACTGACTAGCTTTTAGGCTTGCCCATGCACAAGGGAAGTCCTAAGTAAGAGGAAGACAGAGGTGAGTTTACAGCCCCAGAGGCTGGCAAAATGAGATACTGACTCTAGGCTGATGGCCACCCCGATCATATTAGTCTTGGCCAGATTTACTTTAAAACCCGTTGCCCATTGGAAGCATCTAAGAAAGAGGCGAAGAGACTGGACTTGGACTTGGTCTTGGAAAGCGTTGCCAAAAGGGAGGGGGTATCATCAGCACATTGGAGGTGGGAGATAGAGGGTCCTCTAGAACTAGCCTGGAAACCCCTAACTAGGCCAGCACGATACAACCCCGAGAGGGAGGCACTGAAAACCTCGGCTGCTATGGAAAAAAGGAAAGGCGAGAAGGTGGTCTCCTTGCCACACTTGGAATAGGCCCTTGGGAGTGCCTTTGATGATGACTGAGAAAGAAGGTGAAGATACACACCCTCTCATCCACCTACGCCACTGAGCTCCAAACCCCATGCAGTATAGAGTCAACGTGGTTGTATGCCTTCTTGCAATCTAGATTAATGACCAAACCCGGGATTTTGGCTAAATGTCGAGTGTGAAGACACTCGTGGCCATGAGGGCACTGTCGACGATTTGATGCTCATTGATGAAGGCTCCTTGAGTGGGAGAAACAACCCATTCCAGTACTTCTCGGATTCTGGAGGCAAGGACCTTTGAAAGGATCTTGGTGGTAAACCAGCCTTTAAAGTATCCCAGAATTGGTGGAAAAGAGCAATGGGAAAACCATCGGGGCCAGGGGGGCCTAAGGACTTTACAGGCTCAAGGATTTCCATTTCGTCAAAGGGTCGCTCTAACCACACTGCTTTGTCATGGGGAAGGGTTTTGAAATTTAGAGAGGACATGATAGGCCTCGGGCCACCTTGTGCCATAAAGAAGTTTTTGAAGATATCAACACTGGCCTTTTCAATGAGGTCCTTGTCTTCAAAGTACTGATGGCCAACTTTGATGAGAGATATTGTATTGTTGCACTTACGACAATTTGCAATTTTATAAAAAAAGGTGGTGCTCTAGTCGCCAAGTTTTAACCATTTGACCCTAGACCGCTGCATCCAAAAGATTTCCACCTTGCAGAGAATTGATTGAAGAGCTATTTAGGTTAGCAAGGGAGAGAGGCAATGATTCCTCAAGAGTATCAAGGTGGATGATTGTGTCAAGAAGTGGCTGTTTTTTAACATGGAAGTTCCCCGGGAGGTTCCTGCACCAATCCTTGAGGGCAAGCTTTAAGAGATGGAGCTTGTGCTAAAGACGAAAGCCCGGTGAACCATGAATGAGCGGGGCAAAGGATTGCTACCCACAAAGTGATTAGCGATAAAAGATTGGGCTCTTCCAACCATGACAGCTCGAAGCGAAAGGGCTTTGACAGCTCGAAGCGAAAGGGCTTAGGACCTAGGCCAGGGGCATTCCTATGATCAGAAGTGCCACGGAGTGGGAGTTGGGAAAAGAAGAATCCCAATCAAGGGAGAGAAGGTACCGGTTGAGTTTGGACAAAGAGAGGTCCTCTGAGTGGTTCGACCAAGTAAAGCAGGCCCCTTGGAGAGGCACGTTTTCCATTATCATCTTTAAGAATAAACAAAAAATTGTAGCATGAATCACAAGGGGTTGGTGTTGACCACGAAAAGTGAAGGGATTGCACAAAAGAGGTAGGGATATGTCCTTGCAGGAAATGAATAAATATGTAGATAAATTAAAACAAAAAAAAATACCAGGCCAAAATAAATTACTTGTAAGCAATCTATGCAATTTACAGCAAGGATTATATTCTTTCAATGATACAAAAAGCCCATAAGACGCATGTCAAGTGATCGTCAGAAAGTTAGGCTACATTAACGTCACAATTCATAAGTTCACTTAAAAATTTCATATCAGCAACTTATCAATAAACAGAAGTCCAACATGTTTTTCAAAGTGATATAAAGTTATAGACATAAAATGTCCCAAAGCATATAAGAAAAGACTTGCCACAAGCTGGCCTATGCTTAGTTTCTGAAGCCACTCAAGCCATAACTGTATTCTAGATCTTTTCAGGAAATATTCTAAGCAGTCACCAATTAACTGCAAAGATTATGTAACTGACACATATAAATGAAAAATGAATGCTGTACCTTGAACAAGCCTCCCAACCAAAACCTGCAACAAAAGATCCACCACGGGAAGTTATTAACAAAGCCTGGAAATATCTATATAGAATTCACAGAAGCGAATTCCTAGATCACAAAAGGCACCACAGGAATGAAAAATTAGTGCATACCTAGGACCAAGGCTACGATGGAGAGCCCTCAACAGCCAAGGTTTGGGTCTAGCTGATTCTTCTACCCAGCACCTATGGAAACTGTTGCAAAGAGAACATGTCCAAATGAGGAACATTCATATTTCAAAATCATATGCATCTTCAAAGAACAACTGCCAAACGAACGCAACATACTTGCTATAGAGGGTCTCAGTCTGATCCCAACTATCCAACTTCCACACATCTTTTTCAGTGATAGGTCTTTTGTAACCCAGTTCCATGATGGGAGTCATCCATCCAAAATATATTTCTACAGAGAAGGGCACAAGAGTAAGGACATTAGTAAAATCATAGAAGCTTAAGGTTAAGTACCTATTTGAAGAGAAAATAAGAAATGACAGTCTAAATTCATCGCAATAGATACCATGCCCTGATATTTTCTGGCCCTTGTATTTTTCCTATAAATGAATAATTGAGAACTTCATTGGATCTGAAAACCTATATAATATCAAAACTTGCAAAACACTAAGATTATGACTTACTTGAAAATATATTAACATGCCTTTCAGGGCATATCTGTTCATTTCCAGGTAGTGCTTCGTACTCTTCAGCTGCATTAGAGACCTCAGACATGACAGGAACATATCCTTGATAAGGATCCAAACTAGGTATATATACCAGCAGCAAAATTCCAAATAGAGCCTGCATAAAAAGAAATAACATAAATTTTTTTTTCTTATCTTGCTTCGGACCCAATAATTTGGGCAAAATCCTTGGCAAATGACTTGGACTTATATGGCTGCACAGCAGAATACATGAGAATATAGTCGTAGCATGTGAATATAATATCTTGTTGTAAAAGGTCTCTGCAAACTAACAAATAAAAAAGAGACCAATTTAGTCACAAAAGTCCAAGACAACAAACCTGACAAATAAACTCGCTGATATATAAATAAAAGGCCAATCTGCACAAAAAATAGTACGAGAGGTCATAAGTTCATAACCTTGCCATTCAGAAATAAATCACAGTTACACATACAAGACAAATAAATAAATTTGGTAACCATAGTTTTAAAGTCAAAACTACTCATTAATTTCATTCCAATCCATCGATACGTTCATCTCCTACATATTGGAAACTTAAAAGCAACATATAAGATGTGCAAGGCCCTAGAATTGTTCACTAAGATTTGCATATTTCTTAGTACAAACTGCACTGAAGAAGCAATAGTAATAAGCACAAATAAAAGTGACCAAGGTAAAAAATTATATGGAATCAGAAATCTTTATGACGACTTTTAATTAGCATATCTCCAGAGCCACCACAAATACAGCAAAAAGTCTTTCTATTAGAAACCAGTACTGGATAGTTAAATTTTTCAAATAATAAAGTTTTCCAAGATCAAGTAATTGAAATCCGGGCACGAATTATCAATTTCAGGATTGTGGGAATGGTGGCACTACCAACTACTGTACACCATAATAAGCATACCAAAAATCCATGTAAGAAAGAGTGGACAAACTCTCCCAAGTCATGTAACAGGACTGGATCAATCATGTTACAAACCCAATGTTACAAACCCAATTAGTCATGTCATAACAGGTCATGTGGATGCCTCAATTTGACAATAAACCGAGTTGAGTTAGTTTTGGCAAGTGCCAAGTGAGTCAACTAGATATACAAAATATGCCTCATTCCATATTCAGCAATGTCAACAAAGAATAGCATGGAAGTGGCAGCAAAAACGCATCATAAGAAAAATAAAATAAGTATAAAAGAATAACTCACTGGCTACAATATTTATAGCATGGAAGTGGCAGCAAAAATACATCACAAGAAAAATAAAATAAGTATAAAAGAAGAAGAACTCACTGACTACAGTATTCTTTGAACGGCAGAATGAGATCAAGCATCACAACCTGGCCAATAAGAACATACACAACCGCAAAGCGAACATACCACCGTAACTCGTAGATGTAGACTTTGGTTTCAATACCAATCATGGTGAGCATTGAACACCAAGCACAAGCCTGAATCAGCAGGGATACGACCTGCAATAAGCAAGAAAAATCCATCAATACATAGAGATGAAATCAGCTCACCAAAATGCATTACACCTAGAGAGAGAGACAAGAGACTCCAAAGAGTTATAAACCCATTAAGATGGGAAAGTTAAACATTAAACCCCAGCTACAAGAAGTGATGCAGGAAAATAGAGAAAAAAAGGCAAAAACAGCTCAGTAAACCATCAAAATAGGCCAGATTTGAGTGGATCTAACCCCAGAAAATTCCAAGAATACATCCTTAAATTTAACAAGAAAAATTCAAAAATAAGAAGCATCTTCTCTTGCATCAAGAAGCTTGCACAATATAGAGAAAAAGCATCAATTCACTCAAGGCTCAAATAATGCTGCCGAATTTAAAGTACAAACAATTACAGAAACATTTTCATCGGGAAACTGTAATGAGATCGCCATTGTCCCTCTACTTCACCATGAACAATGAAAGCATAAATATTGAAATGCCAGTTATGAGGTAAGCTAAGCATTAAGCATCTAACAACGGTATACATATGTAGTCGTAGATGCATAAATTCCATGGCAAGAAAACTTGAAAATTGCATTGATCTCATTCATCCCAACAAACAACCTAGTTCTGTGACATAGAAACTAATAGTAGGCTCATAGCAAGGAGTGGGGTCTCCTTCTAGAATATAAGAAAATCAAAATTAGTAACAAACTGAATATTGAGCAGGCCATTATTCCCAAAATTCATCATAAACAGGAACTGTGCAAAGATTCAAACTTTTTCTTCTCAGACAGTAATATAGACACAAAAAAGCTAGTGCTACTGAGAGGAAAAACACAGGGCAAATCTATCAGTGAAAAATTAGATGCTATTACAACTGGGTAATATGTTACCCAATATTAGGCTCTATTTAACCATCCACACACAAAATTATAGCTACTTTCAGCTTTTTCAAAAGAACCAGAAATGTATATATATCTTACATATTCTGCTATAACATTTTTTATTTAATGATTTTACTAAGACATTTCAACAAGGGAGTATTGATAAACTGGCCAATCTAGAGTTTCAGTCTTCATTGAATCATACTTATCCCCAAAAAAAAAAAATCACTGATTCTATAAGTATAAACAATTCCCAATTAGAGGGAGATTCAAAAGTAATTGTTACTGAATCAGTAGCATCAAGCATATTTAAAAAGGGAATATTTATAAAGTAGCCAATCTAGCTTCAGTCTTCATTGAATCATAGTTATCACTAACAAAAACAAAAACAAAAAAAATGATGGAATCAGTAATTATAGACGAGTAAATAATTCCCAATTAAAGAGAGATGCAATGAGTAACTGTTACTGAACCATTAGCATCAGAATCCCTTCCATTACTATTGTCAGATACCAAAGCACATAACCAGTTAGAGAGAGACAGAGAGCCATGAAATGAATTAGGAAGAAATACCTCAAAAGGTGCAAGGCCTGGTAAGCCATCAAGATTAGTAACCGAAATCCCCATCACCAATCTGAACAGAGGCTCTGCAACCGAGTAAACAGCAAGAGCACCAAGCATATAATTGTAGGCACGAGACCTCAACCTGAACCTCTTCACACTGTAATCCTTTCTGAGCCTCCATATCCTGTAACCGCAAACGCCCATCAAAGCGAGATGAGAGATGCAGAGAACCAAACTCTCCATTCCACATGGTGTGTACGCCCCAAAAGCATTATCCACCGCCTTTGCCCACACCCCATTTGCAACTGGCCTGCAATACCAGACCAGCGGCCCGAAAACCATTGCCACGACCTCTGCAACGCCTGTTTCTCCCTCTAGAGAACCGCTTTGTTGCTCTCTCTAAGGAGATTGGTTTCCCTCTCTCTCTACACCATGATTTTATACCAAACTACCAGTGCGTTGGATTCAAGGGACTAGAATTAATGTTCTATAGCTCCAATTTCTTGGAAATGCGGCTTGTCTTCTATATGGGTTATTTTTTAGGATATTGGCCCTCTCGTTTATTGGCTTTCTCGGAGACCTTTTTCCGACCCCTTTTTACGTGTAAAAGGGACTGACCAGATTTAGAGAGAGAGAGAGAGAGAGTTCGACCAATTTTAGAGAGAGAAGGTTGGCGGAGTGTTCGAAATATCGGCTCGGGCCTACTACTTGCCCATGCCCTATTCGACTCGCCCGAGTCCGAGTTACCCGGCCCGAGTGGTTAGAAATAGTGAAAAATAGATTTTAAAAAATGAGTTTGTGATTAGAGATATTTTAAAAAATTTCTAAAAAAAGATGAAAAATATAAAAAAAATATTCATGACCAAAATACATTTCAATTTTTGTCAAAATGATAAAAATATATACATAAACATGTTACAAATATGTTTCTTATTTTTTGAGATTTTTTATTTTTTTAAAATTCTCTGTAAGATCTCAAAATAAGAGGTCTTGTATATTCTTTACTTTTTAATATGCATAAAGTTTTTTTGTGGTATTCTAAAATTCTAACACTATTTATGTAAAGCAACTCCTTGTACTATAGATGTAAGGCGCATCGCTAAATATTGCCTTGTAGTTTTAGTGTTGGAAATTTTATGTTGGCTTGAAAATTTATTTGAAAAATAATACAGATACAACAGATTTATAAGCATTCTAAAATTTTAAAAATAGACGATCTAAAAAAATTGTTACAATATGCTTTAATTTTAGGATTTGAAATTCTTTTCTCTTCATATCGATATACTTCGAGATCGATATGATCCATTAGAGGGCTTTCTTACGGTAGAACTCTCTATTGTTGAAGATTTTTGAAGTGCATCTTACTTTCAGTACTCTAAGGTTGACATGTTATACAAACTCCCTCTTTTTTCAAAACTATGAGTTTCAAGTTTCAAGTAGAGAGATGGGGAAAGAGATACATGAAATATAGATGATGCAACTCACTGTCTCCCAAGTTGGATCGGATTACTAGCTACTGAAATTGCCGAGAACCTCGATCCCCACAATCGACTTGGTTTATGGTATTTTGCATTTTTTTAGTTAAACCTTGCTCGGGAATATTGTTCAGTAAATCAAGTCTAAAATAAATTCCTAAATAGTTAGGTCCCATCCATGAATCGAATCAAAATCGACAGATGAGGAGACCTGATTCCAAGTCCGAAATTCAAGAAAATAAAAGAAAATGCTTCCTTGCGTCGAAGAACCAGTTAAGAGTTAAATTTCAATAAGGAAGTTTCTGATCACGAGATAATTATTTAAAAATAAATAAAATAAATAAATGCATACTTAAAATGATTATATTTTACTTCCTAGAGAGAGAATACTGATTTTTATTGATGTAAAAGAATATCGCTTGAGAGTGGGATGGAGATTGTGCAGGAATACAGCTTGAAAAACACCTGAGAACAGGAATATTACTTGAAAGTGGGAAATTGCGTGAGAGAGAATATTTTTTTTAAGTATGTATATAATGCTTTTGCAGGAGCATACTATATGTTTACTCTCTAGTGGTGAAGAGATACTTTGGAGAGGTTTCAATATTGGAAATCTTTATGATAGTCGTAAAATATACTTTTATCTTTAATTATAAACTTTAAAGCTTAAAAAATAGTGTAGATCGAACACATCTATGAAAATCTAGAAAATTGACGATTAAAAAATACATTATAAGATGCACTATTTCTAAACTTGAAATCCATTTTTTCTTCATAACCATGTATGTTGATGTCAAGATGATCAATTTAAGGATATGTGGGCATCAAAACAACCTCTTCTATGGAAATTTTTTATGTAGGCTCTAATTTGATTGTTTAGAGCCTAGACTCTATATAAACGTTTTTCAAAAAAATTTGACAGTCCCTTTTCAGTATTTTGACATTAATTTTTTTACGTTCAAACCTCAAAGGATAAAAAAAAGTTTGTTTTTTAATATTTTTACTTTCACTTTTGTGTGTGTATTTTTTTTTTTTTTTATTTATTTGGGGAAGGGGGGGAGGGGTTTCGACTAAGAGAGAGAAAAATGAAAAAATGATTCCGGCAGAGCATGTACTCATTTATGATTGACGAAATGTGCACTTGGTACTTTTTTTTTTGAAATCAATGTGCATTTGAGTACACGAATGATTAAATGTGCACTTGAGGCTGTAGATTCGAACTCGATAATACTCTTTGCACAGTAATGCATGAATGATGAAATGTGCACTTAAAAGGTTGTGGATTTGAACTCAATATCGACTCCACTTTTCTTTTTTTTTTCTTACTATGCCCTTTTTAAAATATTTGACCTTTTGTTTTTATTTTTAGAAACACGTGATAGGGATTTTGAAAATGACTAATTTGTAATTTTCTGCATCATTTGTGACTTGTAGGAGAGAGAATGAATAGAAAGCTCTCTCTCTCTATCTCTATAGAAAGTTTTATCTTCTCTCTCTAGGCCCACCTCTCCCCACTATCTCGTGTCTTCTTTTCTAAATCTTCTTGAATCAAATAAAGCATCATTGGTGAATCTTTTTTAAGATGTGTGTAGGCTTAATTGGGCGTCATTTTCAGGCTAAATAATGAGCTGATGCGATTTTATGCTCGCGGGGGTGCAAATTGTACATTTGGTTCCTCACGCTAACTAGGACTTACTTCAAGATTCCACATCTTTAAGAGGTAAACTACTCGGCATAGAGAGCAATTTTTAAAAATAATAAATTTAAAACACGGTTGAGAAATATCTGAAAGAAAAAAAAAGTCTGATGTTTTACTTTACAACAATTTATCAAATATACTTAACTTTATTGAAAATTTAACATTCTACCTCCTTTTTCAACTATTCCAACTCATGCTAAATAGTGAATCTCTCATATGTATTTTGATAAATTTATATTTTTTTACCTTGAAATAACTCATTTAATCATTTTGAAGTGCATTTTACCAAATAGAGCAAATGTACAATTTTTTCAAAGCAACAATACACGCATATCATTATTTATCTTTATTGTGATTATATTTATTATTCTAATGACAACCATTGCAACAAAAGTTAAGGAATGCACCTAATTCAAAGAACGTGGAGGGGGGAACTCACCCATTACATAAGCAGCTTTACTATGTTACCAAACACAGCCATATCACAAAGTCAAACTTCCAAGGTGTAAATGGAGAGAAAAGTGAGAATGGTTCTAGGTGTTCATGTTGTGAGGACCACAATATTGACGTTTATAGTTTCATTCTCACTTATATATATATATATATATATATAGGTTTGTCTAGAGTTAACAACCCCTCAAAATACAAATGTTCAAGTTAAAAGAGGTTGTGAAGGGTGTATTCATCAAAATAATAATTATTTTTTAAAATTTTTTTATTTAAATAGGCAATTTTAAAGAGTAAATTTGAAATTTTCACAAAAGTATAATAGTATTTTAAAAGTTAGTGTCTAGTAATTTTATTTGTAAAGTGTCATTATCCTTTAGTCAAAATTTCAATTTTACCTCTTATAGAGATAACAAAAATATCATTTGTCTTGTAGTAATATTTACAAATTTACCCCACAAAATTAACTTTTTAAAAAAAATAAACAAAAAAATTAATAAATCCACCATTCACAATTTTTTCTATCTTGAACCTTTACAATTTGAAAGGTTGTAAAGTTTAAAATATCCCTATATATATATATATATAGTCATAGTCGAGATGATCAATTAAAGTGTCGTTCAACATCGAAACAGCCTTTACCAAAAAACATTTAGGCCCGCCTTATTTTTTCAATTGAAAATTTATGCATTATATGTCCTTATATATTAAGTCCAAAAATCTATCTCAATAATAGATTTTTAAGATGTCACTCATTTTTACATTGACTCATAGAAACCATGTCCGTTTCGAAATAGCCAAATCAATCTACATTGAGGACCTTAAAATTCAATATTTTATTATTGAAAATACTCAATGGTGGTTGTAAAGAGGATCCCAATATTTAAAGTCGAAGAATTCTCTATGTAGCTATTTTGTTTAAGAGAGTAATTGTACAATGTGATTTTGTGGGAGTACGCCATATGTTTAAGCCAAAGAGGTCCCTTTTTTTTTTCCAATTTTCTAGAGCTAATGTTATTTAGTTGTTTTTTTTTTTTTTCCATAGATAGGGCTAATGTTATTTATCATTTTATTTTGAAATAAAGAATTAGAATTATATTTTATTTGTCTTATATCAAATTTAGAATCTTTTGGAACATGACTATTTGCTTATTAGAATTATAATAAAGCAAACTATTTGCTTTGTAGAAAATATAAGTTTCTAAAAAAATTGAAAAATATGAAAAATGGGGTTGTCATCTTTTCTTTTTAAGTGGGCAAACTTCTTCACATGATTATGTCATATAAGAATTTTGATTTTAGTGGCCAAATTCAAAGAATAATGTTTAAGAGAACCTGTGCACTCAAATCTTAACCATTACCCATTATTTTATTTTTTTACATGGAACAATAAGTCAAATATGGCGACTCTTACTTTGAGAATAAAAAACTATTAAGTATAAATCATAAAATTCATTTCAAATCAGAATATGTTCCTGAATCTAGGAAAAAATAGCTTTTAAAAAAAGTCATTTAGGTTAAGAAAATAAAAAAAAAAAAATTCAAAAAAAAAAAAAAGATTTTAAAATGGACTATGCAACTTACCCCACCATGAAGTCTCACTTTTTTCCCTCGAAAAATATTTCGTTGCAAATAACCCCCAACCCAAAAGTAAATAATACTAAGCTACCCTTGTTTGTTTTCACACAACCTTCTTACTCCTGTTTTCACACGCGCTTCGACAATACAAACATGCGCTTTGGCATTCTAAATGTGCACTCCGGCAATGCAGGTCTAAGCCGCAGCGCTTTGGCATTATGAGAACTCTCTCCATCGTGCTCCAGCATTCCGCTCTGGCAATGAAGTCTCTAGAGCGACAACACTACGGCAATGGAGGACCGTGCTCCGGCAGTATAAACAAGCGCTCCGTCATTCTGAATGTGCGCTCCCGCAATGCAGGTCT